GGGTGATCCCAGAGTGGGTGATCCCATAGCGGGTGATCCCACAGTGGGTGATCCCATAGTGGGTGATCCCATAGCGGGTGATCCCATAGTGGATGATCCCATAGTGGATGATCCCATAGTGTATGGTCCCATAGTGGGTGATCCCACTGGGGGACGATCCCATTAGTGAATGATCCCATAGTGGATGGTCCCATAGTGGGTGATCCCATAGTGGATGGTCCCATAGTGGGTGATCCTACTGGTGGATGATCCCATGGGTGGATGGTCCCACTGGGGGATGATCCCACTGGGGGATGATCCCACTGGTGAAAGGTCCCATCGTGGGTGATCCTATAGTGGGTGATCCCACTGGTGAATGGTCCCATAGTGGGTGATCCTACTGGTGGATGGTCCCACAGGTGGATGGCCCCACTGGTGGGTGATCCCATGGGTGGATGGTCTCACTGGGGGATGATCCCACTGGTAAATGGTCCCATAGTGGATGGCCCCATAGTGGGTGATCCTATAGTGGGTGATCCCACTGAGGGACGATCCCATTAGTGAGTGACCCCATAGTGGAAGGTCCCATAGTGGGTGATCCCATAGTGAGTGATCCCATAGTGGGTGATCCCATAGTGAGTGATCCCATAGTGGATGATCCCACTGGTGAAAGGTCCCACTGATGGATGGTCCTACTGGATGATCCCACTCTGCCCAGTCCAGGGATGTCCCCAATACCCATGGAACGATCCAGGACTGACCACCCCGAGCAGTGATGCCCACCAAGACAGGACCAGCCTTTAGGGTCGGGATGTTGGGGACTCTGTCCTGCTCCCCAGCTCTTACAGTATACCCCAGCCCTTTCAGAGTTCCCCAGCCCTTTTGGGATGCTCAGCCCTTTTGGGGTTCCCCAGCCCTTTGGGGGTGCCCCTGCCCTTTTGGGGTTCCCCAGCCCTTGTGGGGTTCCCCAGCCCTTTCAGGGTTCCTCTGCCCTTTTGGGGTGCCCCGTGCAGGACTCACTGCTCACTGCTCTGCATGAGCTCGATCAGGTCCGTGAACAGCACGTCCCGGTTGCGCTCGCAGAATCCGTTCACGTCGTAGGACACCTGGGGACAACAGGGGACCTCAGCTGTGGGGTTTGGGGTTGTGGGGTTTGGGGCACGGGGTTTGGAGTGCAGGGTGCAGGGTGCAGGGTGCAGGGTTCAGGGTTCAGGATTTGGAGTGCCAGGTTTGGGGCAGCGGGAGCAGGGTTTGGGGTGCCGGGTGCGGAGTTGTGGGGTGTGGGGTTTGGGGTGCTGGGTGTGGGGTTTGGGGTTTGGGGTGCAGGGTGCAGGATTTGGGGTGCAGGGTGTGGGGTTTGGGGTTTGGGGCACAGGGTGGAGGGTTTGGTGTGTGGTTTGGGGCACAGGGTGCAGGATTTGGGGTGCAGGGTGTGAGGTTTGGGGTGCAGGGTTTGGGGTTCCGAATGCCAAGTGCAGGGTTTGGGGTGCAGGGTGTGGGGTTTGGGGTGCAGGGCGCAGGGTTGGTGTTTAGGGTGTGGGGTTTGGGGTATGGGGTTTGGGGTGTGGAGTTTGGGGTTTTGGAGTGCAGGATGCCGGATTTGGGGTTTGGGGTGCTGGGTGCTGGTTTTGGGGTTTGGAGTGTGAGGTTTGGAGTGCTGGGTGCCAGGTACCGGTTTTGGGGTGCAGGGTGTGACGTTTGGGGTTTGGGTGTGGGTTTTGAGGCGTGGAGTTTGGGGTGCAGAGTTTGGGGTTTTGAGGTGCCAGGTGCCAATTTTGGGGTGCAGGCTGTGAGGTTT